ATAATTTTCTTTTATAAAATCAGAAAATATTGTTGAAACTTCTACTATTTTTGTATTTTTTGATTTTCAATTAACCCTAAAAGGGCTGTACGTTCACCGGGATATGTTTAAGGATATTTTTTTTTTGTGCCGGGAGCTTTCATGACTTTATAGCATAGAGTCTTGCGCATCTTTTGATGCCAAATATAAAAAGTTTTGACCATCGGGTAACGTGCAAATTGACGATTTTCCCATTGTCTGTGTATTGTAGCAATTCAATGCAGAAATGCAGATGTGCGATACCTACGATTACGTAAATGCAGATAACTACAATTTTTTGAGGTGCTCACATTGATGTTTAAGAAAAAAAAAAAAACAAGAAACAACAAAAACAACAAAAATTTGGGAAGACTTTTGCAACTAATGCACAAGCGTATAGCAATCACTAGTACCCAAAGCTAATCTTTACCTGACATGACCTGACCCCAAAATACTCGGCATGACTTGTAATTACTGTAATGACTGGAATTATGCAAGGGCTTACATGTATATATATTAGGGGCTAGATCTTGTGTGAAGACTATACAGAGTGTAAATTCTGTTAGGGAATAATGTTGCACTCAAGATGCAATTAAGCTGAGTGTGTTAGTCATGCAGCATTGTAGATGATTTACATTTTTTTTTTTTAGAAAGCAACTCAAGTTGTAAATAACGATTAAAATACATTTAATACTAAATATGGTTCACAATATCTTTGTCTTAATTAAGGGACATATTAATGAAACATGTACCTGTCTGAATGTTTCATCCTCTGTGTTGCAAGCATGCTCCTCAAGCTGTGGTCTGTCAGTTGGTTGTTTGGCCATTATCAGTAGATCGCATATAGGCCATCTCACTGTTGAATCTTCTGTTAAAACACACAAAGGAAATGTATTATAGCCCTGATGTAAGAAACAGTGTGCTAAAATATCAAAGTTTATGATCAGCCAGCTAGATAGGTTGTTATTACCTTCATCCAGTTATATAAACATATAGTGGCAAATTCTTGGAATAATAATCGTTTTATCTAATGATACTATGACCTAATCTCTTGAAAGGTCATATATATATTTTTTTAAAACCCTATATAGCCCGGGCTATGCAGTGTCAAAGGGGGGGGGGGGTGCTAATTTAGCCCCCCCCCCCCCCCCCCCCCCCCCCCGAGATCTCGCCCCTCAACTGCCTGATCGTGATGAAATCGTCACCTGCAACATAATCTCCAAAATCGTATATTAATCTCTCTGAAAAATATTTTGTTTAATCGATTATGCTAATTATGCTAATTTAAGCATGAAATTAGACCTTTTTTGCTCTAAATCACTCAAAACAGCTCGAAATGTGCTGTTCTTTTGATCTAGACACTCTATGTATTATTCTTAACAAGCGTACTTTAAAAAAAAATCCAGTATCAAAATTAAGTTATGTATTTCATTGTTTTTTTAATTTCTCTGTTTTTCGACCTTTTCATTTTTATTGTTTTTTCAATGAAATTTGTTGGCAACACTTATGCGATCATAACTAGCATAAACGAAATAGATTTCAATCTGTGAAAGCAGATATAATAATACATTTAAAAATATTAGCTAATACACAATTTGTATTGAAATTCTACAAGAAACCACGTTTTTGAGCTATTTTGGGTCCGATGTGCAAGTACATGTACAAAATTATGTGTAGCATAGGAACTGCATGCCCGGGCGTTGTTGCGCGAGATGTGAAGGAAAAAAGTCATGAAATTTCAGCGCAGAATGTCTTCGCTTTAAATAGTTATTGTGAAAAATGTTTTAAGGGGGGGCCAAATTAGTCCCCCTGGTAGATGTATGATATTGATGTCCGCAAATGACTTCTCTACCAATGTTGGTTGTCCGTCTGGATGTGATGACAGGATGTGGTTGATGCCAGTGTTGTCTCTCCAATGTGGTGTAGTTGACCAGTCTTTTGTTTGTAGGGTGGCTTTTCCTTGGTGCAGTGCGAATTTGAATATGTGTGGTTTACTGTGATAGCACATGCTGTGTTGATGGGGAAGAAGCCATTTGCGAACATCAAAGAGGTGTAAGATGCGCTCCGCTGTTGTAGGGCAGTGAGCTTTGTGGAAAGCGGCGGGAATAGCTTGCAGAAGTTTTGGAAAAGATGGGGTGCTCCTTTTCTTCAAGTGAGTTGCAATCCTTGAAAAGAACTGGTCGATGTCCTCATGTGTGTGACCGACCATCAAGAAGCCAACTTTGATCTAAATGCAAACAATAAACGTTATAAGGTGAACAACAGTATGGAATAAATTGAATTTTAGGGACATTCCTCAATGATACAACCCAATAAGCATGAGGGATAATTTATTCAATTGAAATTTTTCTTCATTTATCAGAACATTTATCTAACAAAAAACATATTTATCAAAGCTTGTTTTTGTTTACGCTTTACAAATCATATGTACACTGATGACAAAGATGACAACTTTATATTGCCCATGGTTTCTAATGTGCACTACCTCTTTCCCGTTCATAGGGTTCAATCTTTCCGAGAATAATAGGCTACGACCAACAACAAAAAACCCAAAACACTATTTACCATTGGTATACATGTATCTGTGTAAAGTAAATAATTCTAAGTCACAATATCTTTTTTTAACCCTATGATGCCTACACATATCAGACATTTTGGGCAGTAAATGTATTTGATAGATTAAAACAGAGGATCAACTGAAGATATGCAACAATACAATAGCGCAAAATCCCCCATCATAAAAAGTGAGTCAGAAATAATGATTCACCTTGGAAATTTGCCATGGTGAAAATAATTTGTAATCATGAATATTTTCTCTTTTTTTTCACACTCTTTCTGCATCGTTGTTCTCTCCTGCTCACACTACAACTTCGAGAGAGTGGGTTTGACCCACTTTCAAACACTGTTTCATGAATAGATGCCCAACAGCAATGGTACTGCATGCAGCGGGAAAGTGTACTCTACCAGTACATGTCAAACATTTTTATATTTACATATCCCTTCACAAAATATCATGTACTTTTAAACCCAAGGTTTTGGTGCAATTGGGTTTTTACCAAGTTACTTTAATTTACTGTCAACTGTGAATAGTTTTCTGACAAAAGTGAATATTTATAATGTTTATTCTCAAACAATGGGCAATTTCCGAGGTATATCATTATTTCTGACTCGTCCTTTACATGATTCTGAAAAGAACCTCCAAGACAAAGGCATTCTCTTATCCATCCAATACAAGTTCAAATAAACAAAATTTCCTTTTCATTTTGCGATTAAATAAAGCATCATTACAGACTGAATACTTATATTGACAATTAATTACTAAAAAGAACATGTATTAAACATTACCTTCTTGAAGATATTGAGTTCAAGGAGCAGGGACAGAAAAGAAAAGAGATGTCGATTCTTATTCTCCCTAGAAGTGTTGTCCAGCTGTAGGTAGAGGACTGGTGGAAGAGAGTCGGCATAACGGACCAGGATGTTGAGCAGGAAATTAATGGTTAGGTTGCTGTCATGTGGGTACTCGTTAAAATCGATGTAGGCGTGTTGACCTCTTCCATGAACAAGTGCACCGGTGATGTGAGTGTGCAGTTGATCATTGTAGCTCAGAGCTTTAGGTGTTGGATGGAGTTGCGGTATTGATGTGCAGTGCTGATCCATCCCATCGATGATTACACTCATGTATTTCTCTGGCTGTGACTTCGCTTTGCGGATGTGTTTGTAATATTTTTGTCTCTCACTGCTGCTGAAAAGAAGGTAAAGAGCAATGAGGAGTCATGCTATGCTTAGAAGTTTTGATCACAAAACCAATACTAATGCCTTAAATACACGAGTAAATTGTAATTTGAATGTGTTATCTGAGACTTGGCTAGGTTTACGTCTATATCAATGATACTTAATTGTGACCAATATACTTTTTTAAAGTAATGAACTTGTGCCTACATTTCTTCTCCTGTTTTCCCTACTATTGTATTTTTCTTCTACTATAGGCTTTTCACGTCAAATATCCACTGATTAGAACCAAACATCCGTATAGGCAGTTCAAATGCCCATATTTTATTGTGGTCACCTATTCAAATATATTAACATTGTTGTTGTTTTTTTCCATTAAGAATTTCATTACTCTCTTATTGCTAATATTTGTTGTCCAATTTTTTAATTTGTTCTGTTATTTTTCTCCAATTTTGCCGCTTCTATTTAAAGCAACTTATCTTGGAGCCTGAGTATTCCTCTAAGCTTTCTCGGTTTTTGTCTCCTTCAAAATCTTTGTTGAAATATTCACTTCTATGAGGAAAGCATATAATGACATAGCTCTAGTTGTATATTGTAGCTACATGTAAAATACATCCATGGTTGTCATTTGTTGCACTTAAAATACTGGATCACAGATCACCTCATTCTAAATGCTTAAAAGAAAAAAAAGTACATCAAAATCAATTACAACATTAACTTCAAGCTTTAATCAAAGTTTGCTGTACCTTTGTTTCTCTACATGTTTTTGATGTTGTGCAATCAATTGTCTTCGAACATCTTTGTCGTTTGTCTTGCCAAGCTTCATTTTCAGCTCTGTGCACACATCGCACTTAGAGAAGCGGTTCACCTATAAAGAAAAAAAGAAAAATATCAAAGAGAAGGATTGTTAATTACAAAATTAATGTTATGGATGTGTTTTCTTGATGCATATAAATGTAGATGTTATAAGACTAATATAATAATATATTGACACAAAGATACAAGAGGCCTCAGGAATTTAACAGATTTCGTCTGGCTAAGAATCATAAATTCATCTATGTCTAACCCTAACTGTACCGGGGGTATAATTTGCATAAATTAGCATTATTGATAAAATAAGCAAATTTCCGCGAAACTAATGGCAAAATCTCTGCATAATTTTGTGGCGATTGGCCCATTTGGAGTGCATTAAAACTGCAATATGTTTTGTACAAAAAAACTGACCTGAAATCATGATGGGTCATATGACACTATAAAAGAATTGTCTGTTTTTGCAAAAACTTACGGTAGTGTAGTGTCAAAATAAAAAGTAATGAAGTGGCATTGCTGAAAACATGGCGGTTTTGATTATGGTATGCAACAACCTATGTTTAGAGCTTTTGAGCGTCCCGCCCCACTCACTCCCATCCAGTACAGTTTAGGGTCAATGGAATTTACAATACCTTGGGGATTGTGATGTGCTGCTCTTCCTTTCTCCAAATCCTTTTGAAGTGAGTCTCAGAACAAACCTCAGCATTATCTTGTCGTATTCTTCTATACACCTCTCGCTTTGTGAACCCATGTGGAAGGTTTACAGACTCTCTGTCAGGCATTCGGTCTCCATAGGAACGAGCAAATGCATTAAGTTCTGTCTTCGCGTTTAGGGTTTTGTTAATCTTGTGTCCTTTCCTCAAGCAGTTAGCAGGCAATGGGTATAGCAGTCCATCTATTCACAACAAATTAAATGCATGCATGGAAATAACTAGAAATATCGAAAATGGCTGATCACCACAAAACTCGGCATGCGCCTCAGATATTGCGCAAAGGAAGAGACCTTACCTATATTTTTGGCTGAAAATTGCTTATTTTGTCATTTATGCAAATTCTATTCATGAATATGTTTTTTATTATGAATTACATAAATAAATAATAATAATACCAGTCTCTTATAAAGCGCTTTACGAGTTAAGACCAAAGCGCTCACAGCATATTATTGCCCCAGTCATTGGATTCAATTACAAAAAAAAACAGCATTTACAGTGCACAATCTCCTCTCCCTGGGGAGCATTCCAGCTGGTCACCTATTAGGCGCACACAATGCCAATTCAACTGCATTGCGTTCGCATCCTACAGGGTACCCATTTTAACACCTGGGTAAGGTGAAGCAATGTAGACAAAGTGCCTTGCTCAAGGAACATAAATGCTGTGCTGCTTTTACAGAGTTTATTTTTTGGCAAAAAGTTTCTTAAAAGCCTATTTGACATTATCATATAATTGAATTGTCCATATACTTGTTTTATAATAATAATAATATAATAACGGCCATTTGTACTGCGCCATGTCTGTCAGATTTGACACTGGGCGCCCCATTATGAATTTCTAATGTATTTTACTGTTTTTCAATTCTTATGTATTTTATTGTTTTAGGACTTCTTATACTTAAGATCATTATCTGGATCAATTTACAGTTTGAGTAAATGATAAATCTAGTCTAAAGAATGAAACATTACTGATTCATAGACCCAAACAAGAAACTTCACTTTGCCATTTGTTTGGTAGACAAGATGACAAAAATTTCAATTTTCGGCTTGACCTTTGGTCACAAAAGGTCAGGTAACTCTCTAGCATTCGCATCCTACTGATTTCCAAAAACAGCAAATAGCGGTTACAGCACAATCCCCGAAAATGCAGGGGTGGGCTGATGCCCCCCACCCCCCAGTACAGTAAGTGTTAAAGCTACATAAGAGTAATGAAAGATAATGCAGCTGTCGTACACGAAAACCCCTCACAAAAAGTTCTGCAATTCAAGTTTGAGAAAGGGTATCTCTCGTTGTATTAAATGATTAAATGATACTTCAGTTTGGCACCATTGGAAAGCCTGTTCATTCCCCTAGACAATGATGCCCAATTTTTATAATGTAATCATGGAATATGCAGGACACCTGAATATCTGACCAAGTAGAAAGTCAAATCTTGCAAAATGCATTTTTGTCAACAGTGAATTCTTCATTTGTTTAGAGATAAGATTGTGTTTAATTGATATCAATTCTGATTGAATGCCAATGCAGTATTCTCATATTCTTCTGAAGATGAACTTATTTCAAATGATTTTGAGATATCAAAACAAGAAATTTTACCTATAATTTTGTGAGAGGTTTATATCATACAAATGAGCCAGGAAAAAAGAGTTTTAGCCAAACCAATAAGAATGACCAACAGTCACTCTGTATTTCAAGTTTAACTACCTGCAAGCTTTCTATAAACAAAAAGGACAATAATACGTTGGATGAATATGGGAGATTCTTTTAGGGTTTATGTACATTTTTTGCCCAGTACATTATGTACAAAGGCCATGAATTTTCAAAGAAACTGTTTTGAAATATGAACCTCACCTCTGAACTGCTTCTGCCAGTAGTAGAATCTTGACCTCACAATTCCAACGACTTGATGCCAGGCTGTGGCACACACCTGCTCCAAACCGATGTTGTAGGAGAATTGGAGACTTTCATTTTCAGACCGAGAAGAGTGGGTTCTGAAGTACTCCATCAGCCATGTCCTCTGATCACCCAGCGACTTTTCCTTAAAAGCGATCCGAGCTGCAGCTGCATCTGCTCGTGTGACTCTTGCCAGACAATCTGTTGAACAACATCTTCCTGCAAGGACAGTTATAAATGTCTGATGACCAGTTCTAACTGCAAAAGGGGAAGTAAAAAACAAAGCAGTTACGTCTCCATTGTTGTAAACAGGCATGAAAGCCTACAAGAATAACCAAATCTTTGTGCGGCATAGCCAGCTTATGTACATGTATGAATGGAATGAAGTAAAATTCTCAAAATTTATTCAAGTTGCAACTTCTGAAGGACTTTACTTGCTTTGAAGTACAATATAATTTGGATCGCCATGCAAAATTGAAATATCCCGTTGTCAAATCCACTTGTTACCATTTACCTACAGAAGTCTTTGGCGATTGCCATGGTAACATTTTCTAAATAATATCATACATGTACTTACATGGTTCATTAAAAAACTGCCGTCTACTATAATAAAGGGCCGTTCTCATAAGAGCAGGTAACCTCCTCAACATTTGCCCCCGCGGTAAATGAGAAAACGATGCAGTAATAAACCTATCAGACTGTTCACATACGAAGAAGCATCTCCTCCAATCAAAACCTAAGCAATTTTTATTTTGGTTCCTGGAGGCAAAAATATTTGACCAATCACATGCCAGGAAAATGGGATGTTGCATTGTTGCGATGCGTATTGCTCATCTTGATTGCCCGGTTTTACACGCCATTTTGGGGGGTCAATGTGCAAACTTATTTACCGCAGGGGCAAATGTTGGAAAGACCCTTAAGAATTACTTTGTTATATCAGATTGTTTGAGTAAGTACCTCTTTTTTTCTGCTCTTGATCACTGCATGATGATTCCAGTTGAAATGTCACATGTCTTCTCTTTTTTCCTGTGCAATGATATAAAAAATGAAGAATGACTTAACTATATCTTGTATAATCATTATCATTATGTTGCAGTATAAATGGATACAAAAATCTTAATTGACTCAACTTAGCTTTTTGCTAAGGGGGGGGGGGGGGGGGGTTGCAGGCGCAGGATTTTGGTAGACCCCGATTAACAAAAAAAAATCAAACCAACACACATAAAAACATGCTTTGTCCAATGGGGGGTAGGGGGGGGGGGGGGGGGGGTACGGACGGACAACCCGAAAACATGAGGCAGAGGTGGAGGCATAACAAGTCTTATCTAAAATGTTTGTGGTGAGAAAAAGTGAGCCAAAAATATGAACCGTTTTGGCCAAGATTAACATCAATTTTTGCTAAAATGTGAAGTTTTTTCAAAGAAATTTAGCCCTAATGACATGCCAGTTGGATGAAAGAACAGGGTAAGCTCATTTTTTTAATACCAGATTGGTAACACAAATATTTTTGAAGATATAATATAGATATATTGACTGCTTTGAGATGTGTGTACTAGCTTTTTTTAGGCTAGCAAAAATATCATCAAATATTGACTACTAGCTAAAAAACAACTGGTCAATACTGATCAAATTACAGTCTTTCTACATCATGCCTTGGTTATTATGCTGATTACTCAACAAATACTCTTTTTCTAACAGAATCATTTAAATTGTTCAATGTCTAGCACATACATGTATGGTATTGACACCCATCCCAGGTCATTTCCTGCCCTCAAATAAAATAAAAGGCCCAGTCACAATATGGATAACAATTGACTTGAAATAAGCTCATGGTTCAAAATTTGGTTCATATCCACTTGGTCTACTACCAGTTGGTCTAATTCCCACATCATCTAACACTAACATGGCTAAACCCATTTGGTCTACTATCACTTTGGTCTAATTGCCGTTTGGTCCAATCATCACTTGGACTAATTCCCACTAAGGCTGATTGTCATTTTGTCTAATTATCAAATGGTCTAACTACCATTTTGTCTATAATACTTTTCCCCATTTTGCCAAAAGATCATCTGGTCTATTACCAGTTCATCTAATCAGATAGACTAAGTGGTGTTAGACCAAGAGGGTATTAGACGAAATGGGATAGCCTAACTGGGAATTAGAAGAAATAGGAAATGGATTAAGTGGCAATTAGACCAAATGGTTATTAGACCAACTGGTTATAGACAAAATGGGATATTAGACAATGTGGGATGAGACCAAACGGGCATTAGACAAAGTGAGAGTAGACCAAGTGTCAATTCACCCAAAATTTCATACAGCTTTATTGAACACCAATTACTCATAAGTGATGTTACACTAACCCCTTTTCCTTGGAATATGGCAAGCATCCTCATCTGCATCACTCTCAAGTTCAGTGATAAAGATACCAGGAGTCCAGGGACCTGTAGGAATTCAAATGAAAAGATGTACATGTACATGTATACCACATACGCTTAACATAATACAATGTAGGTAAGGGCATAATACTTGTCTTTTACAGATACATTAAGCCCTGCCATGCTAATTGCTAACCATGCATGGTGTTATTTTTTTCAAAGACAGCAGACAGTCAGCTGTACTTGTGCTGTCCAATACGGATATATAGCAAATGAAGGGAAAAAAGAATAGACCAGGCAAGCTATGTGACATGCTCACAGGAAACTTTAATGTTAATGTGAATGGAAAGTTGCAATATTTATTATTGACATGCAAATACATGTACGTGTATGATATCTTGTCAGATTTCACCTTTTTTTTTGTAGTTCAAATTGTCTTGGTGTTGTAAAAACATACACATTCCTGAATTAGATAGAATTGAATACTTTTTTAATTATCTTTTTTGTGTAGCAAATAAGAATTTTAGTGAAAATTGTAAGTACAAAATTTTAATCATAGTGTAAACTGTAAAAAATTAGTGGGCCACCTATTCTACACTGACAACAGTAAGGCAGATATATATATATATATGTACAATCAGATGCAATAGGAAAATGGTATTCACTTTCATGACCCAATTAAGGCATTGACCAGCACACTTAATCTTGTCTATTGTACTATGTATACTACATGTATGAGCTGAATAGCTACTCATCATAGGGACATTGCTTTTGTTTTCATTGTTTGGCACTCTTCTTTAGTTTACGGAAAAGTCATTTAAAGGAAGCTTAAATACCAGAACGCAGAATATAAACATGCACACGCAAAGCAAAAGCTCAAATTCTGTCAATGCATTACAAAATGAAGACAAATCTATAGAACTGTTTTATTCAAATTTGGGGTTTTACTTCAATATAAACGCAGGAATAAAGTCTTCTGCTCTTCAATGATACTTTAAGTCATGTTTAAGTTTTTGAGTTTTTCTTCATTCTTTAAAGTTTGTTCTGCTTTTCCCCAAAACATTGTATGGAATTTTCCCAGAACATACCTGTCTCACAATGTAGATCCTCATCAGCTTCACTCTCAAGCTCTGTCTGGAGACCTAAGTACATTCATAAATATGATATTGCTTAAATGGTTTACATTGTTTGGCACTCTTCTTTTATTTTATATGGAAAGGTCAATGAAAGGATTTAGCTATTCCTAGAAATGAGGGATACATTGTACATGTAGACAACATGACAGACTGTGTAAAAGCTCAATTTCTGTCCATGTTGCACAACATCAAAACAAATCTGTTTACAATTTTGGGAAAAAACAAGCTCTGAAAAAACTAGGAATTGTAATCGTCCAAAACATTACAGCATACATGTATTATGTAACACCACTATGATAATAAATAATAGTATTGTTGTTAATATTATAAATTCAATTCAATTCAATATGCTGTGAATTTAAATACACTGAACAATAGCTATGAAAGCTGAAGATATTTACACAATTATCACAATGATCTTTGAAAATTCACAGTACATGTAGGCCTACTACTACTGGTGTTTCCATAACCCGACACCCTATCCTAAACCTAATCCTAACCCTAGGGTTTAGGGTTAGGGTGTCAGGTTATGGAAAGACCCACTACTACTAGTTCTCATCTATGTCCATTTTGCAAACTTTCGCTGTGCTACATTTGTTTCTGCATTCACTTACAGCACATTATTTAAGAATTCTTTCCCATAATTTACTTACCTGTCATCTGTGTGTTTGGAAGAGCATCATCAGGCTCAGCTGCACTCTCCAACTCTGTCAGTGGATCCAAAACAGCCATGTTTCTTCAGCATGAAGCACTAGATCTTGAACAGCTAGAATACATAAAATAAACCCCAAAGAACTTTATCCGATACTCTATGGGTTACTGGTTAAGGAGTTAGAAGAACTTAACGGGTCTACCCCTCGACGCGCGGCACCCAACTCGACTTGGGTGCTAAGTGCGTTTATTCATGTGCGCGCACTCAGTTCCTGCGTATGTACATGTAACTCTATGTTAGCAACCCAATGCACATGCACGTGGTAGACGCAGGCCCAGGTGTTTGGTATATATCTATGGGCAAATGTAAACTGTTTAGTTCTTCTAATTCTTTAACAAGTAACCCATAGAGTGTCCTTAAACTTAAAGATAAACTTTAGTACTGGTAATGCGCTTGCATTGTGAAAGTAGAGGTGTGAAAGGATCAGAAACAGTTGATCATGTAGCATGTAAGTATTGGTGTGCACTGCAAGGTTCTGGAGTCATCAAAATCATAATAAATTTGACCGAGTCTTGGTAAAGTAACAAACACTCACATAGAAAGCTATATATGGGACAACACACATGGTGTCGGGGATGGTACTACCTTGGTTTCCTTGTCTTTCTATGCTCATTACTCAGCCAGTATACATTTTCTTCCAAAATTGTTTGGCACATGTCATTTATTTGTAATCTTGAACATTCAGTGTAAGTTTCGTTTGATTCTGTGAGAATTAATTTTTTTTTTTTACCAGTACTGGAGTTTATCTTTAAATGTATGATCAGAGGGAATAAATCAAAGTTTTACATTTAAACATGAATTAAAAACTCAATTTTTAATAAAAAACATATAAGGCACTACCTGCATAGATCTAGACTAGTCTAGGCTAGACCGAAATATCAGTGTTTATGTTGGCATTGGATGCCCTGAGATTGGATTTTCTTTAAAGTCACAAGAGTTATCTGGTGGGGGTGGGGGGGGGGTCGGTGCATTTTGGCAATTTCCTTTTATATGGTGTAGTAGTTCAAGTACTGTTGTTGTTTATCATCCATTGTTAGACCCCTTTGCAACTGACTTATCCTGACACTTTTGTGTCTTTGCACGGTTTGGTGAGCATAATTTTAGGGGACAAATTGCAATGTTCAAGCCTCCTAAATTGGAAAAAATTACAAAATCCCTTCAGTTTATTGAAAAAATTCACATCAGATCTTGTTACCAAAATGTATCATCAATTGTTCTGTAAACACAAGAGGTAAGTGTCAGTGTCTTTTTGATAAAAAGTTACGCCATTTAGATTAAGGGGGGACATACATATGATGTGTATAGGTCAAGATCTATATACATCTAGCCTACTTGATGTAGTATTATAACTAGATCAACATGTATGTCTAATTTAGTCTTATTACTCTGAAGTATTCTTCTACTAAAAGTTTAAGATTTATAGATCTATTCCACTCATCCACTGTATAAGGTTATAACCTAGACATGTATCTGAAGATACTTCGTCTAGTTATAACCTTGTACTCTTTTACTAATATGGGTATGGTAAGGCGTAAAGTTATAGATCTAACCACTCATCCACTATATGAGGTTATAACCTAGACATGTATCTGAAGACAGATACCTCGGTCTAGTTATAACCTTGTACTCTTTTGCCAATATGGGTATGGTAAGGCAGGCCTGTAAATGGGATTTTTCAGGGGGGGGGGTGCGTAAGTTGATAAAACGGACCTTTGATACAAAATAACTGTTTGCAGAGGCAGATCCAACATTAACCATTTTTTCTTCAGAGTGACCTGAAAGCAAGGCATTTTAAGTGCCTCCTTTTAATCCTCATGAACAGGGAATGTATCTCCTTAAACAAATAATGCGAGTGCAAATCGTGAGTGGAAATTTTCATAAAGTGACCTGAAGTCAAGTAGGCTAATCATTGCACTTTTTGAGTTTAAATTTTCCATGAACATACATGTATAATACCCCTCCCTTCTCTTAATCAATCATGCGAGCGCAAAACACGAGGTCATTTTTTTATATTTAAAGCAACCTGAACACAGGGAATTTTAGGCTCATGCACTCCTCTAAATCCTGATGAGCAGGATATGTATTTCCTATAAAAAGGGGGCCAAAAGCCAAAACGCAAAGGCATACTGTGTGCAAAAAGAAGCATTTTCACATTTCATATGATCCCTGAATCACCTCTTTAAATATTTCCATACATGTAAAGGTGTAAACCAAATATTACGCTAGCATTCAAAGCCATTTTGGTATGCCCTGGGCGGCACCATGATGATTCCATTCCCCCCATTTTTGACGTACATGTATTTATGGACAAACCCTTACTGGTCTTTCACAATCATAAACGAACTGTTTGTGTAGTATATTAATTTAAAAGAAATGTGCAGTGTTAGAAACCTCTTGCATTGCATTTATATATTTAATATGTAAAATCCCTTTCAAAATAAAATTCTAGCAACGGTTCATCCCGAAAACTGCATGAAAATCATGACATTAACTGTTTAATCAGAACGAGGATGTTAGCAAGCTTTGTAGATCTTAATTTATCCACATACATGTAATTGTTGAAGAACTTTTTTTTCACAGTACTCCCGTTGTGTTAGATCAGCTGTACGATCTGCATAATGAATGAAAAGAAGTCTAGTCATTCATATGCTGGTATGCAGCCAATCTTACACAATGGGAGTTACAAGCTTCCTAACAATATAACTGTTATTCTATCGCAATGTTTAAACCTAAAATTTGAGTAAAACAAATAATGTTTCTATCATTATATTATTTTTATGTATTTGTATAGCGTATTTTATATCAAAATTGTATCTAGATCTAATTAATTTTAAAGGTAATATGGAATGTTATCAAAGTCCAATATACGTCACAGACTTGCATGTAGGGGGTCTCACTACAGATCATAAACATGCCAGCACCCTTGATAGCAGACGACATCGCAAATGCCTATTTTTCAAAATATTTGCCAGTTTGATGTGGGGTACTCAGTGGGCGTTTTTTGGTGATCTATGTATCAAAGGAAAGCTTGTGGTAAAAATTATATATTATAATTGATGAAATTCTAGTTTTGGTTCATTTAAACAAATAATGCGAGCGGAAATTTTTTCATATAGATCTAGTTACCTGAAAACAGGGCATTTTAAGCGCTTTTTATAATCCTCATTAACAGGATCCTGTTAATCCTCCCCTGATAAATGGTCCACATTAATTACAATAGGTTCTTTTAAAAAAAGTGGGCCTTTCAGATACTTTTTTTTTTGGGGGGGGGTGCATGCCAATACTCTACAATGTAAACAGATCTAGATCTAGATGTAATATGTAGGTCTAGACCTAACTTTGTTAGATCTATAAAAAGTATAATTCTATTCTCATCTAGAAATTTAAACAAGTCAAAAAGTGAAGAAAAAAAATCACAAATTTCGAAAGTTTAACACACAGTTAGCAGCAAGAAAGTGTTGCCATAAAAAATGCCTGAAAAATATTTGTGGTTTATACAACATTCTTCAAGACTTCATAAACAACTGTATTATTAGTATGGTAGAGGTACCTTAATCCATGCAGTACATTAATCCACGCATCCCTCAATACGCGCGATGCGACGCGTTATATGCGCTCATTTTTTTTGGATAGACAATAAAACAACAAGCCTATCGCGATATCACAACAATTTTGAGGGAAAATCATTGGTTTCTTGTATTTTTATGATTTCATGAAATCATCAAGAATACACTTCATTGAGACAGAAAACGAAAATATACATTCATTTCCTGTATTAAAACTGTGGTGCGTGGATTAATGTACCGCTTGATTTTGTCAAAGAAAAATTGAAGCGGTCACGTAATCGACACGAGAGTTAACATTCACCAAATATTCCTGTCAAAGTTTTCTCTATAAATGATCCTCAGAATATTTAGTATTTAATGAGGAAAAAACGTTGATAAAAAATGTTAAATTATTTGACTTTTTAGCCTTTCAAAACAAAGTGCGTGGATTAAAAGTACCTCCATCATACAGTTGTAGATCTAAACTATGAGTAGACTAGATCTATGACCATCAAATTTTAAAAAGATCACTTTAACTTCGGCCAGGGCCTAACTGTTAGGCCTATACTTTGTATTGACATCGTGTTATGAGTGGCCTATACTTTGTATTGACATCGTGTTATGAGTGGCCTATACTTTGTATTGACATCGTGTATGAGTGGCCTAGCCCAGTCAACATATTTGTAAAGTGACATTGTATTCCTTCTTACTTAAAGGTACTATGTCCCATTTGCAGGCCAAAAAAAATGAAAAAGTTAAATTCCAACTGCATTTGAAAGATAATACTAATTTAGAACTTCCCTAAACAAAGTGGGGCTTAAAAATGTCTTCAAGTGGGAAAATAACGACTAGATCTATTAGTTGTCAAATCGACTTTAGGGCTATAGGCCTAGAGCCCAAAAGTAATAGTCTTGATTTTCAGACAACTGTACCGAATGGTCATAGAGGTCTACGTTTTATGCTGCGCAAAGATTCAATCAGTTTAATCTTGGCCATCACAAGAAGTGGGTTATTGATGTAGATCTAGACAAATGCTCATGTACCCTTTACAACTCTTTTCATGTATTTTATGACCAAAGAAGAAAAAAAAGCCAGTCAGTCACTCAGTAGTGTCTGACAGTGAAGTCTAGCAAGTAAACGGGTTTCCTTGCATAATTTGAATATGAGGACACTGCTAACATTTAAATTTCACAGATAGGACATAGGTCTAGGCCTACATGACATAGGCTAGACCCTATTCATAATTCCTGCAAAGTTCTACAGAATTTGAGGTTGGCTGCAAAAGGACATAGATCTAGTACCTTTAAGTTCTAGATCTACTAGATCTAGTTTACTAATACTAGACATAAAGTTAGATCTAGATCCAACATAAAATAGACTTCCAAATTGCCAGAGTCTATAGCTACTGTGGATTAGTACAGCAACGTTAGTCCAATAACTGTTTAACACCGTAACTTAGCTCCGTCTCGCCCAGTACACTACAGTGCACAACGTGTGAATCTAAGTAACAAAACACTGTGGTAGTACTAGTAGCTGTAACACTTTGTAAATTGTAACACATTAACTGTTATCTAATTAGTTAACGTTACTGTAAAACTTGAAAGAAAAAGCATTGTAAAATTACCTCTCGCTTTCCAACGCAACGCCAGTACTCTGAAGGTACCGTAGATAATCAAGTCTTGACTCTTCTCCTCGGACAGCTGTCAACGTAGCTTTTTGGGTGCAACAAATTCAAGATTCAAGATTCGGCACGTGCTGTCGATGGGAAATCTATTGTTTACAAAACACCCAAACATGGGGATTATAGAAGTATAGTACACACGTAGGTAGACATGTCCGCCGCGCTCCGTGGGAATTTCTTAGAAACTAGCTCGACACATCGCCCGTGCGGGATTATTAACTTCTTAGAAATCGGTTCAACGCATAGTCTTACTCCCAGTCTGTGATGGACGCGGGACGCGCATTTAAAGATTCGTTGTACGGATGGGGGGGGGGGGAGGGGGCAGGGTGAGGGTGGGGGTAAAGACATTTAATTGCTGTACTGTTGGGACAACCTCAAAATTAGAACTTTACAAGATCGAGTTCGATCCATCGACCTCAAGTCTCCAGCTTTTATTTTATTGTTGTTTTTGTTTACGCCACTCCCGCTAGTCTGAGTCTATATAATTCTATACAGTACAACGTAGGCCGAGGTGCCTCTGCCCTCGACTCCAACGTCGAACAAGTGAGATGCCAACTAAAGGGTGTAATAAGAAACTAAATCATTAATTTGTTGGGTTTTTTGCATTTCGAAAATTATATGAGCCTCGATCTGCAGGACCACTTTTCGTTAAAAAAAAAAAAAAAAAAAAAAAAATTGTAAAGTGCACAGGCTTCACACACTTCAAATGGGTGTTTCCACATGTTACCTGCATGTATACACCCCCTGTCATCCTAGCTGACATGGGTAGGGTTAGGGTTATGTTTAGATTATGCTTAGAGTTAGGGGTGTAAGGTGAGGTCAACAAATGGAAACACCCCCATTTGAAGTGTGTAACGTAGGCTATGCATCTTTACGATTTGCAATTTTTTACGAAACTTGGCCCTATATACAGCCCTCTCCCCTCCCAATACATTTTAACACAGGTCACATTTCAGCTAGGTCTCTATCGAGAAAAAAAAATCAGCTCGCGTGCACTTCAGTTTGAAAATTTGCTCATACGAAGAACAAAGGCGGATTTGGGGCTAATGGCCCTATCTTGGAGAGGGGTTGTGCGGATGGGGGGGGGGGGGGCTCAGACATGAACAACCACCAAATTTTTGGGTGGGGTACATTTATCACTAAGCCACTTATAATTTTGGTGTGGATCAAATATTATAGAGCCCTTACCCCATTGTTTTTTTTTTTTTTTTTTTTGGGGGGGGGGGCTCAGATATCATTGTGTCTACCATATTTTTGTTGGGATCGACTATCATTGAGCTCCTCTCTCCTCCGAGATATTTTAACAAAAGTCAAATTTCAATTCTCTTTCAAGGAAAAATTTTCCATCCGCGTTATGAGTTCCCACAAAATATTGGGGGGGGGGGGGGGGCTCAGAAATAATTTCTTATCCAAATTTTAAAAAATCATCTCGCATGACTTCATTTTTTTTCTTTCTTTCTTTGTGGGTGGAGTTCAGATATCATTGAGCCCATCATATTTTGGGTGGGGCTCGGATTGAGCCCCCCCCCCCCCCTCCTCCTAATTTATTTTAACACAGGTCAAATTTCGGGTCTTTATCGGGCAAAAAAAAAATCGTGCCCATGTTATGCATTCTAATATATCAGGGGCAGGGTTTTTTTTAGTAGGAACAAACTAAGACGGATTTGGGGTTAAGCCTGCCCCTTCTATCTTTCAGAGGGGTGTGTGCGGAGGGGGGGGGGTGGCTCAGACATTAATTGAACAACCACCAATTTTTTTTGGTGGGGGACAGTTATCTCTAAGCCACTTATAATTTTGGTGTGGCTCAAATATTACTGAGCCCTCTCCCAATTTTTTTTTTTTTTGAGGGGGGGGGGGGGGCTCAGATATCATTGTGTCTACCATATTTTTGTTGGAATCGATTATCATTGAGCTCCTCTCTCGATCCTCCCAAAAAAGGATAACATTTCCACCCGTGATGAGTTCCCCCAAAATATTGGGGGGGGGGGGGAGCTCAGATATCATTCTTTTATCAAAAACACAACAAAAAAAACAGCTCGCATGACTTCATTTCGATTTTTTTTTTTTTTTTTTTTTACGGTGGAGTTTAGATATCACTGAGCCTAGCTTATTTTGGATGGGTCTCGGATTGAGCACCCCCCCCCCCCCTCCTCATAATATATTTTAACACGGGTCAAATTTTAGGTCTTCAGGGAAAAAAAATGAAGCCCGCATTATGCATTCAAATATATCAGGGGCAGATTTAAAGGAGATTATAAGAAAATGAATTTAACGAATGGGCTCCAAAATTAAATTATAAAAAGTGTTGGAAGTGAAGGTTTAACTAACATGTTTGTTGTTGCTTAGACCTATTCTTACAGTGACGAATCCATGCAGGGGGCGCAAGAGGGCGCAAGCCCTCCTTTCTTTCTTGTTGTTGAGAATCACACATTGAACATACTAAGAAAATTTCCTTCTGCGCCCCCTCTTTATTCAAATTTGCCGTCTGCACCCCCTCTATTTCCAAATCCTGGATCCACCGCTGTTCTTTAAAAATGAGGGATCAACGGCCAACAAAGTTTTTAAATTATGATTTTTGCTTTGAAATCAGCCTCTGTTACTCCGCCTTGATGGTGTGTTTTGTTCTCGAGGGGGGGGGGAGGGGGGGGGGGTAATCCTGTTCGTACCCGTTTTGGGGGCACTTTATAAATTAAATTTGGTTTTATGCCCCCCCCCCCCCCCCCCCCCCCCGCCGCCTGACAGTAGTAATATGAATAGTTGTAAATCACGTACGGTTTTAGTTTAGGATCGGAGTAGAAGTAGAATAATAGATATATGAATAACCAGAGGATTGTGACACATTGTTACAATTATAAGTTAAACTTGACACATGAAGTCATTACAAAAACAACTTCAACAACAAGTCTAGGATTATGTTTTCTGGCTCTCCTATGTTACGTAACAAACAAAGGGGTACTTGGACCACGCTCTGTCACCCCATTCATAAACCGAAATGGTTGTTTAACAGTTTGAGAGAGCTAGTCTTGCTCGCAGTCACTTGAGTGTGACTTTCGCCGTTTTCTTCTGTAATTCTGAACTTTTTCTTCTTAATTCTTCTTTTTCCTCTCCTTCTTCTTCTCCTTCTTTTTTTTTCTTCTTCTTCTTTTAGAAATGTCTCACTATGTGAGACTAAGATTAGGCGCATATACTTTTGGGGTTAATAAACCTCGGCCCAGTCCCAAAGTGAGTCAAATATGATATGATTTATAAATGGGCGCCAATAACTAAATCATTAAATTATTTCTTTCTTGTTTGGTTGCTGCCTGCAATTGTCTAAAACTAAGCGAGAAAAATATGCAGTCATGAAGGCATAACATAATTATCTTCCTAGCTCTTAGTCCTCCATTAT